ATATATATAGCGTTTAATTTGGATTTGAACAAAATCAGATTAAGGCTAAAATAAGTTAAATACTATAGCAAACCTTAATTCATATCCGTTGTCAGATAAACCTGTACAGTCTGCTAAAGAGCCAAAGGTATCAGGAACAATGCCTCCCGTCATCTTTTTCGTTTCATTTCCCTCTGCACATGAATGCTGACGTAGGTTTTCTTGACGATAAAATGAACGTTTTTTCAATGTTAACTCATGATTTCCCGCATAATGTGCACAAGTATCTGTTGAATGTATGGCCTTCTCGTACAAACGATTAAACCTCTCTAGTTCAGACTGATCTAAAATCTTGCGAACACTGCTACTTTTCCTCGAAAAATGATCTGTCCCATACGGACTAGAATTTCTCTTTATGAAGTACCGGTAGCTGTCCATACCAACTTTTTTAGTGTACTTTCTGCACATGTCACTTGCAGACTGCATGGTACAAGCAGATATGGCTCTGGTTAGCTTTGAGCAAACTTTATTACCAATCAAGGCTTTGGAAGATCGTGTATAAGCTATAAGCTTGTGCCTCGTTTTTTATGCTCTTGTTTTAACCGTCAATGAAAAAATCAGTGACTTGGAAAACATTCTTCTTTTAAATACTTTCGAACCTCCATTGGAAAACTTTGTTAGGCACTACTGAAGTGGTTTATGCGTCATCAGTCACCAATGCAATAACTTACATAATCTCAAAATAAAATAAATTAAAGATCAAAGGTACGTCATCTTTATATTGCTTCACAATAGTGAATAAATAATTAAACCAATTGTTTCAAAGAACTGACTTCATTGGACAATATTGATGTTTACACCGAATAAGTCTATCGAATAAAGTTTATATTTTACAAGCTAACAATTCGCCGGAGTTAGGCCTATCATATTAAAATATCTTGAAAATTATGTTATATCTCTATTGTATTTTATTTAACAACATAAAATAAAATATTAAATAGGCCTATAACAAAAAGTATAAGCTTACGAAATCACAGAAGCCATTCTTCTTCCTAATGAAAGCGTCAATTAAGCACCTTACATAATCCCAATACAGTACTTAAATAAATATTTTGCAAATGAAAAAAATAAATGTAGGCCTAAAATGGTATTAATTCCTCAGATTGGGAATGGATCGGTGGTTAAGATGGATGCTTTCCAATCCCAGGGTCAAGGGTTCAATTCCTGTCACCGGAAATTTTCTCACGACTCCACTCCATAAGCCTCATAGTAATATAGATTAGATTATTTACTGGTATATATTATTTATTTTATAACATAATTTATAAGATAAATTATTAAAATTTTATTATCTTATTACATTTAATTTATATTTATTATAAAATTTATTATTTATAAAATAATTTATTTATTTGTGAATGATTCTACATTAGGTACAAGTATTTTTGGAAAAGTTGACTTCCATCTTGTATGCGACTCCTCGGTGACGGAATTGCCACTTTGGAAAGTGATTCAGTTCACTGCTTGGTATATCCTTAGCCCTAGTGCCTAAAGATGAATAAAATAAAAGGAAGATTTTCTTGTAACCTCGATTGTCTTTCGCACTTTTAATGCTTTTTGAATCATTACAAGGTTTTAAAAGACAATGTAACATGAGGCCGATATTGCTGGTCACTGGATCTATAGTTGGAAAAGTTAAGTACGCCTTCCTCATCTCTCTGAAGCTATTATATACCTAGATTCAAAATATAATTTTCAGTTTTCAAATACCTCCATTCTTCCATACGCCCGGAAATAACCTCTGAGGCGTTTTGGGCGATCAATAATTTCTTTTTCTTTCTTTCTTTATATATTTTTTTTTACTTAAAAAACAAAGAGAGAGAGAGAGAGAGAGAGAGAGGGGGGGGGGGGGATGGCGGCCTGGCCCTGCATTCAGTGCCACAACATCCTACCAAGTACTCATACTCCTGGCTGGAGAGACAAACCTAGCAGAGGTGGGTGAAGGATCGGGTACAGATGCCTCCCTTACGGAGGCAAATTTGTACTGCTAATGAGATGTAAAATAAAGATAAACATTGAGTTTTGAAGAGGGATTTACATTCCCCACTGACAATTTTGGCACCACCCCCTCCTCTGCTAAAGGAGGAGGGAGTGGTTATGCCAGCGGGGGGCAGGGAGTGTATTTGCCCTCCCATCACACTGGCCTGGACCTCCTGTCGTCCGACACCACGACGAGATCCTCGGATCAAAAATATATATAAATATAATTTTCCTATCCAAATAATGCTTTGATTTGTATTGCTTATCCCTAATATTGTGGTCTAAAAGCCAATTTAGACCATACTAAACCATGAAAAACTGTCCCTGAACACTACCAGGAATTTTTTATTCCGAGACTCGGACCAAAGCTCTTGGTTCGGATCCCCGTCGGACATGTCGGACCCTTTGTCAGCAAATTTCTGGAGCCACCGCAGGGAGGCGATTGCATGGCATACCAGAGTGAGTTCACTTACAAATGGAGTTCTGCAGAAACAAGAGCATGAGTTTCTTAACTAAATTTAAAATGTAAATTACTAATGTTGTATTTATTTTAAAGTAGAATTTCAGATTTCAAATAAAAAATAATTTAGAAATAGAAAATAGTTTTCTCGCCAGTGGTTGGAAATCAAAATATTTCTTAGTAAAAAATATGTAAATCAGTAAAAAAAACTGAATTGTATGAAACTAGTGTGTCGTTTGTTGTTAAATGAGCAATTTTTAGTTTGATTGAATGGTTAATGAGATACAGATTTTTCAATATTAAAAAAAATAAAAAATGGGGGAAAAGCGAGTACAACCACATTTTATTCAAATTTTTCCCCAGTTTTTGAATATTAAAAAATCTGCTTATCATTAACTGTTCCTGAATCGTTCCTCAAACACAATTTTTGAGTCTTGAAAAATCAGTTGTACTACATAGCAAAAAATGGTTCCACCCGGAAACTGGCGTTAAAGTACTGTACAGTATTTTATTACAGTATAAAAATCATCATAAGAGCCTTCAATTGAATAGATTTATGTTTAGTACAACAATTTTATAAATAATGGATTTTTAGATTTACATATACTGTATTATTATCCTCATACTGTATTTAACCATTCCATATGAAGAATATATGACAAACATGTACTTGCTGAAATATACAGTAAGTTGATTTACAACCGTTTGAAATGAGTGTTTTTCTTATGTTGAAATTTACTTTGATTGCAATCAATTAATACTAAATTATGATTCTGTCTTTGTTCAGAAATTATTTCTCTTATAATGATAT